AGAGACTCCTGAGCTTCGTCAAATATGCTGAGTAGGGGAACAAGGCACAGTCATTGTTGGACAACAGTTTCTGCAAAATTATTGCACATCAGTTATCTTTCTGTATAGAGTCTGTAATGTTAATGTTGTCAATTTTTGTTACTATCATTTTCTTAATTATCACATCGAGTGTTTGGTTGGCATGCGTAATTGCAATTTTATTTGGACGGTAAGACCCTGGAACTAAGTTTCTAAATTTTGGAGTATATTTGATTTAAGGGAAATGGAGGGGATAGGAGTGATGAATTTTTTGACCAATCAAGTTTGCCAATTTTATAATTTGATTGGTCAAAAAATTTATTCCTCCCCTTACTTTCTCTCAAACCAAATACCCTTTAGGTTGTCAGGAAATATGGTTCAAAAGTTATTTAAACAGTGGAGACAGCTGTAATATTAGGATGATGGAAGTGTATCAGATAGCCAATTTTGTGCAGGTACCTCCCATGTGTCAAAAGAATTTTCTTCCTCTGTAGATGTCATTAACAGAGAAAAGAAAGGTAAGGAAAAGGATTAGAATCAGATTATCTCTGGATTCTGATGATCTATTGGGCAGCAATTTTTTATATCTATTTATATTTGGTTGAGTTTACAATCAATTATCCAATCTTTGTCGAGTTTTTAGTATATTTGAATTAAACAAAAAGGGAAAAACAACCAGCTTTCCAGTTTTCTTTTTTAGATTTTTTTAACCCGTTAGTTAAAAGTATAATTAATATATTTTTTAATTATTAATTTAAAAAAAATATATTACTTTTAACATTAATACCATGTATTTTAATTTAACTAGTTAATTACTATAATTGAAGTTAAATTTTATCATTTTTACATAATTTAATAATAAAAGATTACATTAATTGCTTTTTAACCTTCATTCCAAGGCATAGATTAAAAAAAGTCCTTTTATCATAGGCAATAATTATAGATCTCAGCCTCAATATGGTTCATTATTAAAAAAACGTAATGAAATCAAGCATTGTGTCTTTCTTTTTCAGATAAGGACCTATTATTCCTCTTCGCAGGTTAAAAAAAAAAAAGGTCCTGCATTTTGATTTACAGTAGGGAATTCACCAAAAAGAAAATGGAGACTGGAATGTGATTCCTTTATTAATATGGCTAGTTCAAATACAAATATACACTAGAGTTGCGTAGGCTCTTACAATGTTCATAATCTTTACAGTATATACCAGCTATAGATCTGACATCTCTATTCTGGTTTGTGAAGTTGATGAAGGATGTATAGAGATGCTGATGACAAGAAAATACAGATAGAATAGCTGAGTAGATCCACACCGGTAGTTATTTGCACCATCTTGCTTCTTTCAAACATCTTCACTAAAAGAATCATCACAATAACATGCCCTACTTTTGTCTTCAGCTCATCAAGCGAGCTTATTTTCATCCATTTAGGTCTTTCCTGCAAAAGCAAGACCAACAAAAAATTATATTACTGTTTTTGTTATTTAAAACACAGTTATCACACAGATAAAAACAGTGTGATAATTCATGGTTGTGCGAGGGAAGTCTGCTAACAAAATGTATGATTAAGCTGGTTTTTATATGAATAGGGAACATGCCCCTTTGAAAAATAATCAATGCAAATAACTCAATCTTGACATACATTATTAGCTCATACTCTTGACAATGGTACGTTTTCATTTTAATGTAAAAATTATTACCTTCAAAGCAAACATTCCAAACAAGGATGATCCTTTGAGGGCACGATCAGCATTTGGAGGTGAATTTGGAGGCACATTACTAATAAATAACCCATATAAGCCCATGCCAAATATTAGCATGACTGTCCCAGCAAGATAAACATCTGCAACCAGTATGCATTACCATATCAGTTTAAATGCACTGAAGAGGGAAAATGCTACTGACACTGCTGCCTTTGTGAGTGATGCTTCATAATTACAATCAATAGGAAACACTTTCAGAACAGCATCAAAAATAATTCTTTGCCAGGTCCCTAAGAGACTAAAAGAAGTTTTACTAAGCTGCTAGCCTGCTATCGTGATGGTTCAAATAAATTGAGAAAAAGCTACCTATAGGATCAAAAGAATTCCATTTTGGGTTGAGTGTTTTGAGAGTTTACCAATAGCCTCAACCAACCGTAGAACCATCTGTCCTGAGTGAATCCCTTTAACACAGCTTGACCAGTATACTTTGTATGCATCAACAATGTAAACACAACCCTTGGGAAATTGAAAGAAATCAGTAAGCATATCTAGTTCAGTGGAATGTGCAAAGTTCTTACTATCAAAAATCATATCACTTAAGACAATAGGCATGACTAAGATGCTCAAAGTTCAAAGTAAATTCCTTCAAAGTTGTAACAGTTTGAACATTAACTTTTGTGTACAGGTTTAACAAATTATGGAGTAAGAGCTAAGAAAGTACATTTAAAAAGCACAGCACTGAACCAGCCAGTGAACCTCCAACGGCCAGGAGTGCCGCGAAGCGAAAATCGAAAATAGTCTGCATAGAGTGGAACAAAAGGGGAAGACTATCAAGAAATTGAAGAACTGCACAAGTATCTCTTGGTGAGAAACCAAATAGCATATACAATTTTAAAATTTATGATGTAGATCACATGTATTTAATGTTACAGCACTATTCTTATAAAGGAAAACCTTAACTTTCTTAGCCAATTCATCAACCACTATTAGCTCATTATCACTTGATAAACCTACAACTCAAGGAATTTGGACTATTTTGGACTATATTATATTTGCTTAGGGTTTTCTGGGCATTCTGACCAACTATAGTAGAGAAAACATTAGTTGTTTATACTGAACCAGGTACTATCTACTAATTCAAGTAAGCAATATATTAAACACCTGGACTGCACCTCTTCACGGTGAAATTATAACCCTGCTGAATTAGGAAACTTGAA